TTGCACAGTATATTGAATATGACTCACTACAATATTTATTTAGTGATGTATACAGTTGAAACTTATAGTATGGGCCAGATAGTTTAGCAGCCTCTGAGGTAGTTGTAATTTTGCACAAGAATCAACAATTCAATTTTATGGGAAAACTAGAAAATGAAAGATTTTACTAGTTATATACTTAAATTATGGAGTGAAGACCTGGAATATCTAATTCAGGAGAATCAGTAGATCTGTCTGTAAAGAAATGTGAATTTAAAAATGTAGTTAATTCATTGAAATATTAGTTAAACAAAAAGCGATGTACTTCAGGTTTTATAATGTTGGCATTGGAAGAAATTTGAATGTTCTTGAGCTCATATGATTTGGTCCTGTCCAGCTGTAGCTGTGCTTTAATTTGAAATTGCTGCATATGCCAATAGAATTTAGAGATTTTAATACAATATTGAAATATATTCTTAAACTACGTGAATAGTTATGGTTTGCCAAGTTGGCTGGTAGTTGGAAAGAAATGTATGATCCTGATTGTAGAGGGAATGGGTCCATGATATGAGCATGTTACCTGTTTTTGAGAAGTATCTTTTTTAAAAATGATAAAATACGTCTCTACATGGTATACATTTAATGATAAAGACAAGATTTTATATTGTTATCTGTAGTCAGTATATGGATTTTATTTCAGTTAGTTTTTTTCCTTCTTTCAGTTTTTGCTGCTATGTGCACACTTACCAGGAAGCCACAGCTAAATTTTGTTATCCAAAAAGTGAACTCATATGATCGAGGAATTTTATCATATTCATGCTTAAATTTTGTGTTTAAAACAGCATTTTACAGGAATAATAAAAGGCAACAATTGTTAATAATTCTTTACATGGTAGTAATTCTTTTAATCAGTAATAATTATTTTCAGGTTAACGTACTGCTATTCATACAAGTCATAGTTGTTTATCATAGGTACAATGCTGTTTCCACACAGAAAGACAAATGTGGTAAACTGTATTACCAGGAAATTGTGGCTTTACAGTAGTTGTTTCTTTTTGAACTGCTCTCTGAACATTCCTGAATTCATATCCTCGAAGATTAGGTCTCCTACAACCTTAGTTAACCTGACAACTTCAAAAGGTTCACCTGAATTTTTTTTAAAAAAAAACAACAGCTATTATATCCAACCAAATCTTTGTCAAACATGCTCTGCTATTGGCTCCAAGCATAACTGGTTTGTGATTAATTGTTGAAGAATGTGTTAGTTGCTTACTTGCTCCAATCTAACAATGCCCTTGGCTTCATACCACTTGTTCTATCTATGTCAAAGTTTACAAATGGATTCATTTGGTTAGAGCAGGGGTGGGCCACCTTGGCTCTTTTATGACTTGTGGACTTCAACTCCCAGAATTCCTGAGCCAGCATGGCTCAGCTTGGAAACCTCTCCCTTCCCGTCAGCATGGCTGGCTCAAGAATTCTGGGAGTTGAAGTCCACGAGTCATAAAAGAGCCAAGGTGGCTTATCCCTGGTTAGAGGAAGAAAACAATTTCAGCAATATTGAACTGTAAGTAAAGTTCAAGGAGGGGAAGGCATTCTTTTCTCTGGCTTGACTGTTTTGCCTAGAGAAATATTACAACCTTTATTTTTTCATGCCCATAATTAATTTTGAACTGGCATTCCTAACTAAGCTCATCCTTTTGATGCTGCATGTTTACTAAAGTCTTGCTGCTCCTCGGTTTCAATCATCCATATTGGGCTCCTGTCAGTCTCTATCATTATCAAACTTCTTTGTTTTTATAGATATTTTATTGGTTTTTAACTATAACAATCTCCAGTGCCTGGTGTACAGTGTGTTGTCTTGGTTTATATTTTAACAAGAAAATAAAAAGGACAGTAATAATTAATTAACAGTCAGTAATGATTAAATTTGATAATTCCATAGTTAATATATTAATTAATAATACATTTCTTTGATCTTCCCTTCTCCCATTTGTATTTTCCTTCTTCAACCTTAGCCAAAATATAATTCTTAATATTTTCAATATATAAATGATTAGGTATAGGCATTTTTTATATTTATACAAATAATCTCTATATATAACATTTTTTCAGCTTATATTATTCTCATAACAATAATCTCATTAGTTCAGCATATATCCTATTTTTATAATTTTTGTTAGCTTAGATTCCCTTACATTCAATCCAATTCTAATCAGTCCTAATTTCTTCATATTAGTCATCTCACTGTCTAAATTTTCCCATTTAAATACATCACCCCAATATTTTATGTCATGCATTATAAAAATACTGTACCTTTTTATCTGTCTTATAGTATCTGGATATAACATTTTTAATTAGTTTATATTTTACTTATATATTAATAAAAGGTTGATAATTCCATCAGAAATTTTTAGGGTATGATCTTTACAGTTTTTTAATTCCTAGATTTGTCCAGACTGAAATATTTTAAATCAAATTTTAGTATATTTCTTTCTACCTTTTATGTTCATTCACCGCTTCCGTCTGTAAGGGAATGGGGATATAGTCCCATCCCTTCACTTCTGGAGGTTTTCTTGCTTTGGGGATCTTTTCAAGGATTTAAATAGTAGATAGAAGAAAGAAGATCAGTACTTTCACCAATTCCAAGCACGCTGTTCACCGATTTTTAGGTTCGTGCTCTGGGACTTCGGCTGCAAGCAGCTTGGGCTAGACGCTGATCTCACACTAGCCTTTCTGCTGTTGGGTTCGGAGGGCTTTTCCCAGATCATACGAAGCAATTGCCGTCGCTTCGTGATAAACGGGGCACCCCTCCTTCACAGTCACCTCTCTGGGGCAACTTCGGACCCAGCCCCCAAGCAGGAAGAAACTAGCCATAGGGAGCGGAGGTCCGTTCTCATGTGGCCATGCGCTGCATGCGCAAAAACCAGAAGTCCATTATCAAACTTCTGATGCCTAACTACAGCCCAGGGATCAGTGACGGCAAGTTCAGTTAAGTTTTCTTTCATAGCGGGTTTTGCACAGCTACATTGGAATGATAAAAATATAACTCCAACTATTCAGCGGTTTACAGAATTTACATTATTTGCAACATTAACACTTTGCTTGTTGACACATGGTTATAATGAAATATAAGATTCATAAGAAAAAATTACGTAGAATGTATTATAAATTTGATTATGTGTTATTTTCTGTTTGCTTTTTTTAACTTTTTAAAAATATTCCTTGTAACTTTAGTATATTTCTTTTTTTAAAAAAATCTTTTTTTAATGTTAGATATAATTCTCTATTGTTAGAGGGTATTTTCCCTCTTCTGGTTCTTCAGATCTTTGCAGTGAAATATGGCAACCCTAACCCATGCTTGGCTCCTGAAAGGGATGCTGTTTAGGAATATGGGAAGAAACATTTTCAGGTTTCAGATTACACACACACAGATTACACACATTCACTTTTAAAGGATCACTGTGGTAGAATCAAGTACTTTAACAGGTCTCCCAATTCAATCCCTGACTCTTTCAACGAAAGGAATTTTAATACTTGGAAACTTTGAGGATCCACTATCACATTGTAGACTTTAGAAAGAGCCGGCATAGACATACTCCACTCAGTACCAAGGATGCAGCTGTAGAGGTGGTCAACAGTATTAAGTATCTGGGGGTGCAGATAACTAACAATCTGAATTGGTCTCTCCACACCTCATCCTTAGTGAAGCGTGCAAACCAGCGTCTGCATTTCCTGCATCGGATGAGGAGAGCACATCTTTCTCCTTCTGTCCTGCCCACTTTTTACATAGGCACGATTGAGAGCGTTTTAACAAACTGCATCACTGTCTGGTTTGGTGGCAGAAGAATATCAGATAGAAAGTCCATACAGAGATTGATAAAGACAGCCGAGAAGATCATAGAAAGCTCGCTTCCTGGTATTCAGAATGTGCTTATTAGCGCTGTGTGCTTAGAGCTCAAAGCATTGTTAGAGACCCCACACACCCACTTTATGGTCTGTTTCTCTTGCTCTCCTCTGGGAGGAGGTTTCGAAGTATTTCTGGCAGGACTACCCGATTCTGTAATAGCTTTGTTCCCTATGCCATCCCTCTGGTAAACTCGCAAGATTTGTTTTTCTTGCCATGTATACATAATCTGAACTTGTTGTTTCTCTGGTGTCATATAATATATGTGGGTGTGTGCATAATTTTGTATTTATTTTTGTCATATTTATGTAATGTATATTGGAGGTGGTGATCCTTTGAGAGCTGCATGAAACGAAACTTCATTTTAATGTCTGCCAATTAGTGTACATTCAAAGTGACAGTAAAGTTATTATACTAGTCTATTGTTCTATTCTACTAATTAGATGGTGTTGGCAACAGCAATAGCACTTAGACTTATATATTGCTTCATAGTGCTCTAGAGTACTCTCTAAGCCAGCGTTCCCCAACCTTTCTAGGTTGATGACCTGGCTTGGGAGGGGGAGAGGGTATGGTTTTGTGTGAGGGGAAGGCACCCACCAATCATATGAGCGGTGCTCTGACCATCGATTCCTGCTGCTTGTGCGTGCATGCTTACCCGCCATTTGCATGGCCCAGTTCTGAACTGGCCACAGCCCAGTAGTGGGCTAAGGCCTAGGATTTGGGGACCCCTGTTCTAAGCAGTTTACAAATGTCAACAATCTTGGTTCTCAGGTTACCAACCTTAGAAAGATAGAAGGCTGAGTCAACCTTGAGCCGGTCAGGATTGAACTCCTGGCAGTGGGCAGAATTAGCCTACAATACTGCATTCTAATCACGGCTTCTCAGTGATCAATGCAACTGATTTATAGAAGGCAACTTTATTTGGCAAGCATGAAAACTCATTGTGTGGAACACCATCAAATAACTGATAGTTGTTGACTCATATTTTATAGAAAGCAACTTTATTTGGCAGGCATGAAAACTCATTGTGTGGAACACCATCAAATAACTGGTTGTTTTTGACTCATAAGTCATAGATACTTAGCGATATCTAATGATTTTCTTTTTGTGTGTGCAGGATCCAAACTACTGGATACAGGTCCATCGTCTAGAACACAGTGATGGTGGAATCCTAGACAGCGATGACATTCTTCGTGATGTGGCTGATGATAAAGACAGAGTGAGTATTAATATTTCAAAGAAGACTATTTCTTGTTTGTGAGCACTGAGAAATTATTGATGTTTTACCTGAAAAGAAGGTAACATTGAATTTAAAACAGTCCAACTAAATAGAAACTGGGTTTACTAGCTTACTGTATTTTCAGCAAATCTATCATGCTACTCTCACTTTACAAATTACTTGAAGAATGTCTTTTTTCAGATAAAGAAATGGAAAAAAGAACAATGTAGCATTTAAAACAAATAACCTGGAATTGGCAAAGAGATTAGTTGCTAAGTAATATTTTTTATGATGATACTTATTCTAATTAAAGTTATAAATAATTTGAAGGAACAAAATGAATTAACAATGTGAGACAAACATTTAGAAGTTTACTCTTCAAATTCTCAAGAGAGAACTATAAAAATGTTTCTTTGGAAATGCATACTTGGTTAAATTTTTAGGATGCCTCTAAAACTATTTTATTTCACTGCATTGTATGATAAATATTTCTACAGCTACATTAAATATTCAGCTTCAAGTATACATTATCTTGGTAGAATGGAAAGTCTTGATGAAACATTATTTTCATTGTATTTCACGTGTATTTTTGACATAGCGTATTTAATTTGAAGATTGTAGCTTGAAGCATTCTGACTATTAAAAAGTAACCATTGTCATGTAAAAGATTATTCAAGAAATTAGCTTATTAAATTACACAAATGTATAAAAATGTCCATGATATTAGATGTTTTAAGATAATATTAAGCAATGTTATTATTATTTGTTAAATTTATTTGCCCCTCTATGGGACTACTCTAGACAGCTTATAACAATAAAAAGAAATAAATGAAGAAAGTAAACAGAAGTAAAATAATAGAACAATGAACACAAGAATAAACAATGAAAAAGAACCCAAGGAGAATGCATCCAAAAAGATGGATAGGTGGAGAATAGAGAGCAGGGGGGGGGGGAGAGACATAGAGTCTGCCATCAATCCTGCAGCCACTTCCAGCATGGAATTCCCCCATCTGGTCCCCAGACCAACCAGCAGAGGCAGATCTTCAGGCTCTTGTGGAAGGACAGGAGGGTGGTGCCAGAACTTAGCCTAGACAGTAGGTTGTTTCAAAGGGTGGGTGCTGCAGCAAAAAAGGTTCTTCTTCTGGATCCTGATAGTCAGAATTCTTTGACTGGCGGGATCCATTGTAGGCCCTCTCAGCCAGCAGGAGTAGGAAAGTCTTGTTCTAGTGCAGGGGTCTTCAAACTTGGCCCTTTTATGACTTGTGGACTTCAACTCCCAGAATTCCTCAGCCAGAATGCCTGGCTGAGGAATTCTTGGAGTTGAAGTCCACAAGTCATAAAAGGGCCAAGTTTGAAGACCCCTGTTCTAGTGGCTTATCAGGTGGACTTATGCTATTAAGGGCTTTAAAGGTCATAACCAACTCCTTGAACTGCATTTGAAAACAACCAGTAACCAATGAAGCAAAAGTATAATGTGGACCATCCTAGGAACCCCCAAAAGTGCTCCTGCTGCTGTGCTTTGCACCAGCTGAAGCTTCCAAATGGTTAGCCCATTTGAGCACATTACAATAGTCCAGATGAGAGATGACCAAATCTTGAGTAACTGAGCGCAGGGAGGTCATGATCCAGAAAAAGTTGCAACTGTGCACAAACCAGAGTTGTGCAAAAGCTCTCCTAGTTATGCCCACCTCTTGCTTTTTGAGCAGGAGACGAAAGTCCAGGAGAACCCTTAAATTGTGAATTGGGTTTGAATGGGATAGCATAGTGCAATCCCATTCAGAACTAAGGATGACAAACATTTGGATCCTGAGGCTCCATGCACCCAAAGCCACTCAGTCTTGCCAGGGTTTAGTCAAAGTCTGTGGTCCCTTATTCAAATCTCTACAGCCTCCAGGCATAGTGAAAAGGTAGATACAGCCTTGCTTGGGTCACCACCATGTGTAGGATATCTAGGACAAGAGTCTTCTCTTAAGATTTCTTTTCATAAAGAAGCTTTGTTGACTTGATATTTTTCAGAAACATTAAATTTCATGCCAATTGGGAATTCTGATAGTTGACATTCTGGAATCTGGTAACATCAGATTAGGAAATACTAATATAAAGCTTCTCTGAAATTGTTTTACTTTTCAGCACAATATGTTCCTGCCCAGTAAGTAATATTCTTGGGTTGCTTCTTTTAAGGAATGATGGAAGTTATACCTTCTAAGGAAGACTGAGAAAAAATAAGTTTGGTTATGAGAAACCATCATGTTCCTGTCATCCCTTACTTTCCCCTGATGTAGCAGTTGAGAAAATAAATGCTGGGAGTAGATTTGGATGCTGGGATTAATGCAGTAACATGATAGCAGTGCTCCAATATCTCAGGGCTTGCCACAAAGAAGAAGGAGTCAAGATATTCTCCAAAGCACCAGAAGGCAGGACAAGAAGCAATGGATGGAAACTAATAAAAAAGAGAAGCAACCTAGAACTAAGGAGAAATTTTCTGACAGTTAGAACAATTAATCAGTGGTACAATCTGCCTCCAGAAGCTGTGAATGCTCCAACACTGGAAATCTTTAAGAAGAGACTGGACAGCAATTTGTCCAAAATGGTATAGGGTTTCCTGCCTGAGCAGGGGGTTGGACAGTGGTGGCGAACCTATGGCATGCGTGCCAGAGGCGGCACTCAGAGTCCTCTCTGTTGGCACGCGTGCCATGCCCTGGAGATGGCAAGGGACTGGCACCTGCCACCCTGGCCCCACCACCACGGCCACGCCCACCTGGCACCCGGTGATAAATAAGTGGGTTTTGGGTTGCAGTTTGGGCACTGGGTCTCTAAAAGGTTCACCATCACTGGTATAGGGTTTCTTGCCTGAGCAGGGGGTTGGACTAGCCGACCTCCAAGGCCCCTTCCAACTCTGTCTATTCTATTCTATTCTATTCTATTCTATTCTATTCTATACTCTATACTCTATACTCTATACTCTATACTCTATACTCTATACTCTATACTCTATACTCTATACTCTATACTCTATACTCTATATTCTACATTCTATTCCATTCATTTTTGAATGCGTCAGCAGCATTTATATTAGTAGTGCAGAAGCCTGCCAGATAATTGGGGCTCTCCATTTCTTTCCTTCTGTTAAACTTTGTTTCCTTTCTTCTGAAGGAAAAGCTCTATCACAGAATCCTGGGTTGTTAGTCAGATGTGCAAGGCGTACAGTTAATATTTATAGTGATTGCCACCAGATAGCAATGAACTAGAAATTCAGGTTGGTTTCTTCTTTCCTCAGACTGTCATGTTTGCCAGCTGCATAACTTTCTACGCCCACTTGCTTCTAATATCTTGGTCATTCGCCTGTCATGAATGCTTTTAATTGTACTTTGTAATACTTTAAGAATCTTCAATTGATTTGGACTTGTATATTTGGACTTGTATATGCTTGGCTATCTCTCAAGCAAGGTACTTTTTTACAAATTGGCTTAAGCAGTTGCCCCCCCCTCAACCTTTCTGGCTCTGTGGACTGGTGGTGGTTGTAGAGGGGAAGGGGATGGTTTTGTGTGCACACCCACTGCTTGCATGGCCCAGTTCCCAACAGGATGGCAGAAATATTCTTCTAGATATATTGACTAAGGTTTATGACAGTTGTAGTCAATTTATTTGGTTGCAGGAGGCCACTGTAAAGCCTATTGCATATACATGTTGTAATTCCAGGCATTAAAATATTTGTTTTTTTTCTTTTCCTCCCCACAAATGAAATCCCACCTGAATGTTCAGATCAGGATAGTTTTGCCATAAATCTTCTTGTTCAGAGAACAGTGAAGAACTTTCTGAGCTTTTGAATCACAGCACTTTGGAATCTGTTGGGTAATAACAGCTTGTGTAGAAATATGAGAAAACAGAATTGAATGGAAACATACCTGCTAGAGTAAACTTGAAGCTTCCTTTGGGAGAAGATGGGATTTTGAAGCAATGATTGAAAAAGGAACTAGGGAAGTAATTCACCATAAGGTTTTGGATGAAACCAGCCAGATTCTCATTTCTTTGTAATTGAAATAATAGGCTAGTCATAGAGTTCTAGAGTGAGGTAATGGATTTTTCCCCCCACCCAGAGTTTATAACAGATTTCATCTCATAGTTAAGGCTCAGGCTGGAAACCAGGAGACTGTGAGTTCTAATTTCATTCCTAACAATGAAAGCTGGTTAGGTGACCTTTGGCCATTGACTCCCTCCCAATTCAACTCACCTCACAGAGTGGTTGTTGTGGGGAAATAGGAGAAGGAAAGAGTATTAAGAATGTTTTCCACATTGAGTTACTTATAAAATAATAAGGGGGGTAGGAATAAAAATAAATAAATAAATAATAAGCATCAGATTTCATTGCATGGATGGTGGAAAGTATCATGGTTATAGCTCCTAAAATACTCTTTATCTTTTGAAGTTTTGTTCGCACCAGTTTGAACATTTGAGGTAAGTTAGACTCCTGGACTGCCTTACTCATCAAATTCAGATATATTCCCATTGTCATTTTTGGGGGGGGAAAACCACAGTTCTAAAAGACTATAGCATTCCTAATAATATAATATTCCTAATAATAATAAGTTTTTGAATTATTGTTTATTAAAGATGTTATTTTAAAAAAGCAGAAAATGCTTTCATTTTCTTATTTACAAGTTAAGAATTGCACAGCGTAACTTGTAACTTGTCTTGTTGCACAGACAAGTTGCACACGTCATGTTTAAAGAAGCAGGAATAAATGGTTATTAAAGCAACAGGGGCTAAACTGAGTGTTTAAGAGAGGTTGAGTCTGTGTTGAGTGGAATCAGGTCTCAGAATGGCCAAGGTTAGGACAGCTTGTCTGGTGAGATTTGGGGAAGAGTGTGGCGAGTTCTTTGTGTTCTTTTAAAAAATAAAGTTAAAGTCTATAGCCTAAAGTTATGCATGCCAAATGGCACTAGGTTATAATACCATTTGGTATATTTCCTCCCTGTAAGTTACATATGTTGGTGGCATTGAAATAAACCAACTGACATTTATTTATTTATTTATATTTAAATTTATATGCCGCCCTTCTCCCCATGGGACTACTGATAGAGACTCTCAGCAATTGTGCCTTGAAGGTGCTCTGTGGATCTGGTGCCTTTCAGAGTCCACAGATTGTCCACCCAACATTGCCAACCCCTTGCACCAAACACTGGCAGAATGATCTGTCCTGAGACCTTAGACCAGGGATAGGCAACCTTGGCTCTTTTATGACTTGTGGACTTCAAATCCCAGAATTCCTGAGCCAGCCATGCTGGCTCAGGAATTCTGACTCATAAAAGAGTCAAGGTTGCCTACCCCTGCCTTAGACCATGATAAGCTGATGAATTACAAATAATGGAGAACTTCTATTTAGACATTCAAAGAACTGAAGGTCATATTTATTCTAGAGTAAAGGTGATATTTAGCCAAGGGTCACAGCAGGCAGGCCAATGCCATGGTGATATGAGCCAAATAAAGGTGAGAAAGATTCCTGGGGAAACTTGTTCTTTTAGTCAGGAGGGATTGTTTGTGCCCTTGTTTTTGAAGTTTTCCACCCCAG